TTTAAAATATATATTGAATACCTTTTTTTTATTTTCAGGGGCAATAAATTGAATTCAGTTGGTATTAGGTCAGGTTCCAGCTAATGTTTTTATAAATGTATAACATCACACTTTTCCTAAATATGCGACCGGCCCCGTTGTTCTCATATTTCCGACACTAGTACACTACGTATATTGGTTTAGTGCAAAGCTTTCAGCCTGTTAACCCTGGCCTTCATCAGTCCACTTAACTTTTTAATTCGTTTAGATCACTAGTTTTTATCACAGTTTATACGCGATAAGTTTGCTGGCTTACGCTTTAACGGTTATAAGAAAATTTTAATATTTTTTAATTAACCGGCAATAAGTTAATTAATAAGCCGGATTCAGTTCAGTTTATTGCAATGATGAAGGCCAGGAAAACTTTGCTTCAAAGTCTAAACAAATATACGTGGTGTTCCCACATGCAAATTGATTATTTCACTTATTTCACTATTGAAAGTTTGAAGAAAAATTTGAAGAACAATCAGGCTGAAAGAATGTGTTTGTCAGTTGGTGACCCGACAACCCGCCAAAATTGCATACCTTGATTGTTCAATATTACCACTGATGAATTTTGGTTTACCACTGATGGCTGTGCGTTTAGCACCATTTGCTCTGCCCTTACCACTGATGGTTCTGCCCTTACCACTGATGGCTCTGCCCTTACCACTGATGGCTCTGCCCTTACCACTGATGGTTCTGCCCTTACCACTGATGGCTCTGCCCTTACCACTGATGGCTCTGCCCTTACCACTGATGGCCTTGCCCTTACCACTGATGGCCTTGCCCTTACCACTGATGGTTCTGCCCTTACCACTGATGGCTCTGCCCTTACCACTGATGGCTCTGCCCTTACCACTGATGGCCTTGCCCTTACCACTGATGGCTCCGCGTTAACCACTGATGGCATCGCGTCTTTTCTGTATAATTCCTATAATATGTTCAAACGTATTTTACATTACTCGTATTTTACAATTTCATGCAGATATTATATACACAGACGACGCGTAAAGCATTGATTATCCGCTCCAGGCTAAATAGATTCGAAGCGTTTTTTGATAGGCTTAAATTAAGGCCGTGTTCCACCAAGCTTATTTTTTCAGGGGGGCTAGAGTACCCTTACAGGGGGGGGGGTTATCTGGCTTTTTAATTAACTTATTGCCGTTTAATTAGTCCCCCTGCTCTCCCTGTGGCGCCACCCCTGCATGATGCAATCACATCACCGGATTAAGATATCGCCTCCAGATACGCAAATAAATTCGGCTAACAGAAAACAACCTTCATTTTAATTAAGACTAGCTGCTTATATACAGGGTATCCTAAAAAGAAGCCGATATTTTGTCTTTCGGAATTTAAAATGGTTTTAAACTGAACAGAAACAGAAACAGAATATATATATATATATATATATATATATATATATATATATATATATATATATATATATATATATATATTGAACATGATTTGCTCCAAAGTAAATTTAGAGTTGCAACACAGGTAATAATATAGGCAAAAATGTTCTCCGTGTTTACCATACTTATTCAAACCTAAGAATGTAAATTTGTCCCTTTCCCTCACCAGCTCACTCATTACGAGTGCCTAGGCCTTGGGACCCTATAGGAGGCGGTTTAAAAGGAGAAAGGAACACACACACAACCCAAGCCATACATATATATATTTATATTAAATTATATATATATAGCATGCACGATACAATTCTGTCGGAACTAAAAATTTTCTCCGTAAAATATATCAACATTCCAAATCGTGAGAGGAGACTCGAGAACGCGGAAAAACCCACGCCTTCTTCAATTATAAGCTGTTTTTACATCAAGATGTTGAAACATGGATAAGAAACTTCGCTATTGTCGCCACGGTTGTCTCGTATATATATATTTATTAGGGAGTCTTCCTATATACGGTAAAAACCAGGGTAAAAAAGGTCAGACCGGTCCTGTTGTAGTTTCAGTACAGACAGATTACTGGTATTTTAGAGTGTTTTGAAAAAAATCTGCATTCAGATTTAATGTTATGTTCCTCCTCATGTTCCGCGATCTTGGCTTCACTGACTCATTAATGAGGGAAAGTCACAGAGCTAGCGTTCCAGTTTTATTTGAGTTCTGGTATCAGCATGACTAACATGAATGCAAGGCTGGTCACACTAGCGGAGTAAAATGTTCCCTGCCGCATCCCTGTAACATACTCATGCACATAAATTCTATATATCTATGATTTTAAAGATATTTTATTTGTGTATTTTGAAATTAACGACGATTTAAAGCCCCGGTCAAACGAGAATGAAAGTTGAGAAGCGAGAGTCGACCGGATGTTACCGCTCGCGGCTCGCGTAGCCGGAACTATTTTGTTTTTATTTTGTACTATTTTGCTGAGCCTGCAACTACAAAATGCAAAAAACTAGCTGTTTTGTAATTCCCTCATTCTCTTTTGTAATTCTTCATCGACTCTTACCAAAATTTTGATCAGTTCAAAGTGGGTGAGAGTTGTTCACATGCAGAGTGCAATCAGTGCATGTATTGATGAGATGAGTGTATCGAGAGTTCGATGTCAAACGCTAGCGAGAGTTTCAACTCTCATCAACTCATGCTCGTTTCACCGGGACATAACTGCAAAAAATGTTGTTGAAAGTTTCACACGCCAGCCCCAGGCGTCTACAAGTGCACATGTTATTGTGCGAACCTTTGAATTATAAAACAGGTGCAGGGCTGGCATCGGAAAATAGATACTTTTTGTCATCATCACTTGTGTTTCATGTAATTATGTTATGTTTTATAATGGGCAACTGCTCTATACATGCACTGCACATGCGTATTGTATCTGCGAAGAGTTGGGTGCTGAGCGGTTCCCTGCAGAGCATATACCCCCCTTTGAAAAGCCGGATCTTGGATAAAGTCGAATAGGACAAATACTGATTATCATGCAGCTGGATCCTAATCTGTCCAAGACATATACTCAGTTTACCGTGCAGATTTTGAGCTGGGTCCTGAGAGTAGGCTTGACCATAGCTAGAACATATACACCATTTAGAGCTGGGTTCTAGTCCCTGCAAGACACATACTCTGAGTTCAGACCTGGGAAGTAAGGTCAGGAAAATATAAGTAATATTTTATATTATATACACTGATCTTGCTCAGTGCATATGCTAGAGGTATATAGATCTTTACGCCAGGTTCCCGAAATTCTGTAAACAAAATCTTGAGATATATCTCACCAATCCCCAAGACACCGAAAAATGCAATCGAAATCGCCGCTCAAATCATAGTTTCATCTTGTGTTGGTAATTTCCGTGTTACTTTGGAATTACATGGATATCTAACCGAGTGATTCACTCACTATATAGCTGCATCGTTATACAGGTGCGCTCATAAGTTATTGGACACCTTGTTTTTCACAGATATGTTCCCTTACGCAAGCTCAAGGAAAAAGCAAACAAGGTTTTTTCCTCCCAGGATTTTAACTCAATACAGCAAAGTTCATGCCGATAATGTTTTACTGTCTTGCTTTAGAGCCCCATATACTACAGACTTTCAATTTTGGGACAGGTTAAAAAATGCACGTCTGGCAGAACTACTGTAACGTCGTTGACCTCCCACAATTAATGGGCCCCAAGTTTCATTTAAATATTTCAAAAAATCCGAGGAATTCAACTTAGTGCACGAGATGATCAAGCCATGGAACGCAAGAAAGATGTGAAGAAGGTTGCTGCTGGGAAACGGTTAACCGAGGAGACCAAGTGGCGAGTTATTTTCTTGAAGAAAGAAGGTCAGTTGAGCAACCGACAGATTGCTTCACGATGCAGGGTTAGTCCTTCAACTGTATCGAATCTCTGGGCGAAGTATAGGGAGACTGGAAGTATGGCGGAGCGCAACGACAGACGAGCGGGACGGCCAAGAAAAACAACACCAAGGCAAGACCGAGCCGTGGTACGTTCAAGTGAACGCGATAGGTTTAAAACTGCTCCTCAGCTTAGACGGGATCTTATACAAGCAGGAACAGATTTGTCTTTGCCAACCATCAAGAGGCGTTTGGGTGATGCTAACCTTAATGGACGGGTAGCACGTAAAAAGCCATTGATAAGCGAGACTAATGCACAAGCACGTTTGTCGTACGCTTTGTTAAAGAAAGACTGGACAACTGAGCAGTGGAACAAAGTCATGTGGTCAGACGAAAGCAATTTTACAATTTTTCCCAATAGTGGTAAAGTTTATGTGAGACGGCGAACTGGTGAAGAGTATAGAAGAGAGTGTCTGAAACCCACTGTCAAACATGGAGGTGGAAAAATAATGGTCTGGGGCTGTGTAAGCGGTGCTGGTGGAATGGGAAAACTTAAAAGGATAGAAGGAAAGGTCGATGCAGAGGTTTATTACGATATTCTACGACACCAAATGGCACCCACAATGACACGCCAGGGTGGGAGACAATCATTTATTTTTATGCAAGACAATTAATGCATGTCCATACTGCTAAGAAAATTCATAATTTTCTAGAGCGAAATGGCTATGATGTTCTGGGCAATCCTGCGCAATCCCCTGATTTGAATCCTTTAGAGAACATTAGGTGGGCAATAGAAAAAGCACTGTTAGATAAACTGCTTCCTTCTAATGCTGACGACTTGTTTGACAAAATTAAAGAAGTATGGGACAACTATCCCACTGATGAACTTCTTAAGTACATCGCATCAATGCCAAGACGCATTGAGGCTGTAATTCAGGCCAAAGGTTGGAAGACGAAATACTGATTGGTGTGTGCCCTATAACGTTGTGTGCGTGTGCATAATCTAAAGTGCATGCTATAATATGTAGCTATTGATATCGAAACTAACAATAAAAAATAAAATTTTCCCAAATATGTTTCAAATTCTATTACGCGAAAAGTCAATTTCCTTTACCGGGATACTCTATTACGTACTATATTTATCAAAAACAGGGTGTCCAATAACATATGAGCGCACCTGTATATATGGTCAAACACAGAAGTTCAGACTTGGTTAATAAACTACTGAGCGCAGTGGCCTTGAAGCTAATAATAAATAGCTAAAAATAATATCCCGCATTATAGCACACCCCTGCGAGTAAGTGCACTTTCCATTAAGCGGCCAAAATGGTCAGACCGGTCATATCTTAAATTGGAATAGAGTATTTCGTTAAGAATATAGCGATAAAACTTTATTACCCGTGCTAGGCAGATGTAAATAACGATATACAGTACTTGAATGCAGATCGAGTTCTTGAAACACTCTGTCTGTAATCTGTCTGTACCGAACTACAACAGGGGACTGGTCTGGCCGTTTTTTCCGTATATAAAGGAAAGCGCCCTAAGGTTCGCTTTGTTAAAAATATAATAATAGTATTCTGGCTATCTTGCCGTGGACATTGGACCCAAAACATTTAGACATATAGTACATGGAATCTCGTCCATTAACAATAATTTGTTCAACAATGCATGCGGCCCAGGCAAAGGCATGGTTAAGTTCTTCTTCAGTATTAATATATGTCGTATATATTTTGACACATTTCAATTAGCAGTCGAATTATTGAATAACTCGAAATGTGTTTCGCACTTTTTGGGAGACATCAATGAAGCTTTATTAGTATGTTTTTTAAAACCAATTGCAACTGTACCATTTCTGTTGATCGGTTGGAAGGTTACGGTGTTTGCTGCATGACACTTGCAAGAGCTGGTGCGGTCTGGTTTGATTACTTTAAAAAGGTAAACGCTGGTGTTCTTTATCAGCCTTGGTGTTGGTGGTGGTGATGGTGGTGGTGATGGTGGCGGTGTTGGATGGATTCGCGGATTCTAAGAAAAAAATATTTGAAAATATATAAGGGGTAGTGTTTGAATCATGTTAATTATCGGGCTGATAAATATTGTGAAATACAAACTGAAATATATATATATATATATATATATATATATATATATATATATATATATATATATATATATATATATATATATATAGTTTGCAACTCCAAATTTATTTTGGAGCAAATGCATGTTCAACCATGTCAGTATATATATATATTATATATAGTATAGTACACATATATATATATAATTATATATATATATATGTATATATATATATATATATATATATATATATATATATATATATATAGTGCCGCGAGTACTGAACACTGTTGTTTGATATGCTCCTCATAAAATCATGCAGCCCTATAAGATTGAAGATTTGCTGTGTTTTTTCTAGCATAAAATTAATTATACAACAACTTAGAAGGTTTAAAGCTTTTACGTACGTGTATACATATAGCTACGTACGTGAAAAAAAAACGCGATAGTGGGAGGCAACCCTAAGTCTATACAAACCGGCAAAGAAAGTCCATCATCGTCTGCCAAAATATACTCTCTCGAGGCCTTGTGTTGCAATGTTACGATTTCTGGATTTCCCGGTTGTGACCAGTCAATCGGCTGATATTGAGTCATTGTAAATTCTACGCCTATATATATATATATATTAATAATAACAGAAGTAATATAAGCCTGTGATATATATACAATTGTTAAATGTGACATTTATATATACACTGGCGGTCAAAAAAAAACTGTTCAAAACAAGTTAAAATGCTCTGAAATGAACGTAACTGTCTCTCTAACAATATATACGAGTAAATATAGACTTTTTATAGATTACATGCTAAGCTATATGAAATAATAATATTTTGTTGACCCTCCTTTGGCCTTATAATTGATGACCTTATTGATTGGCCTTACACCGGCGTGGCATACTTTTTGTTAAGGTGATAATCTTGGACAGTCTTTACAGCAACCCATAAATCATGGACGCTTTATGAATTAATTCCTTTCTTGCACTATCCCCTTGACATTGTCCCACAGATTTTCGATAGGGTTAAGGTACTTTGACTGTGCAGGCCAATCCATTTCTGTCACTCCCTCTTCCCATGAAACCATTGTTTGACTATCTTTGAAGTGTGACAGGTTCACTTGCATTACATTACTGAAATATTGCTTGGAATAAAAGAATTATCCAAAATGCCTTTGAAGCTCTCTTCTATATTCGCTTCTTCTTTATGAATTTGTATATAAACAGTTCTTTTTGACCGCTAGTGTACAATAAAAGATTGATTGTTACGATTCCTGTGACATACGACAATAGCAACATTTGAGCAGTTCTTTTTGACCGCCAGTGTATATACTTAAACTATATAGTCATCATCATGAAAATGATAACTATTTAAGTTTAGTCGAAACATATAGAAATGAAAATTTTCAAAAGGCTTCTATTTATAATAAATTCATTTTAAGACCTTATTTCATCTACATAATTCGCTCTACTAACATCTTATAGTATTGAGCACTCTTTTGTCTTTTCCAACAACAAGATTATATATATATATATATATATATATATATATATATATATATATATATATATATATATATATATATATATATATATATATACAAAATTTAGATTGTTTCGGTAATAGACAAGAAGAGTGCTTAATACCAAAAAAAGCAGAGCATAAATAATATTAACTAATTCTTTAATCTCAAAATAAAGCCGTCGCTACACGGTGTTTCACGCTAAGCTAAAAAGGCAAAGCGATCATCAGGCGACGATGATCGCTTTGCCTTTTTAGCTTAGCGTGAAACACCGTGTAGCGACGGCTTTATTTTGAGATTAAAGAATTAGTTAATATTATATATATATATATATATATTTTTTTTTTGATGTCGCCAGCGCGACCCCCTGCAGAGTGAGATAACGTGTTATCTCATGGGAAATAGCAACTTTTATCCATTTGAAATTATGTATTTTATGAATAGATATTTCGTTGTTTACCTTGTAGTTTGGTTTTTCTTTGACAAGTGGTATATAATAAAAAACTTATTTACTGAGAATTCAGAAAACATTATGTTTTGTGGAGTGTGGACCCTCAGGTCCACAAAACATAACGTTTCCATCGTTCGCAGTAAATAAGTGTTAAATATATAATAAACAAAACTCCATAGCTATGAATAATTCTGGCTTTGAATAAAGCCAGTTGACAACACATACTATCATTTTCATTCCCGTTGCTTAAAACAATCGGATTTGATCTGCTACGTTCATTCACCGTAAGATATCTCCCGCCGCGATAATATACGCTTTTTATTTTGTATGTGTCATGTTTCACGTATTTTAACTTTTCCTTGTCGCGTGGTTCATCCCCTGAAAATTTCAACCTTATTTAGTTATATTACTATTAAAGAGTTATAGATCTTATGTGCTATTGTGTCGCCCGCAAATGATCGTTGCAAATCAATTGCAAACATATTCTACCAAAACTCAGTTTATGTGTGATGCGGACTTAAGTATAACAATCAGGCTGAGAGGAAAGGATGTGTTGGTCAGTTGGTGACCCAACAACCTGCCAAAATTGCATACCTTCATTGTCCAATGTTACCACTTTTCCGTTTACCACTGATTGCAGTGCGTTTAGCACTGATGTTTTTGCCTTTACCACTAATGATTCTGCGTCCGGCTCTGCGTTTACTCCTTTTACTGTTGATGGCTCTGCGATTAGCCCTGATGGCTCTGGCCGCTCTGTGTTTACCATTGATGACATTGCGTCTGCTCTGTATAATTTCTATAATATGTCCAGCGTGTTTTACATTACTCGTATTTTACATTTTCATGTAGATATTATACTGACGACGTATATATATAAGATTATAAACCATATATTGATTATCCGCCCCACGCTAAATAAGTATTCGAAGCATTTTTTGATAATGCTTAATTAATCAGGCCCGTTTTCCACCAGGCATATTTTTTCGCGGGAACTGATGAGTAAAGGCTGTTTTCCACTCACGCGTTTTTCATACGCACGTAGGCTACACGCACGTAAAGTCTAAATCCTTATACATGTTAACTTTGAAAAAACTAAGTGAATAAATCGAAGAAACTTAGTTTTCTGCATATTTTAGTATGCATTAGTTGATCTAGATGGTAATTGATAAAAATTTGAAAGCATTTAAGATTTTCCGTACGTCTACGTGCGTATAAAAAACGCGTAAGTGGAAAGCAGCTTTAAGAAGCGAACTACTTTTTTCGCTGCAGATATTTTCGCAACCAATCACATCACCGGATTTCAGACATATCACTTCCAGTACGCAAATAAATTCGCCTAGTGGAAAACGGGCTTAAATAATAACGGCTATAGCTGCTTATGAAGGGTATCCTAAAGACAAGCTAATCTTTTGTCTTTACATCTTTCGGAATTTAATATGTTTCTAAACTGAACAGCAACATATATACAAGGTTAACATGCACGATATAATTTTGTCGGAAACTATTTACTTTTGATCGGCATAGAATATAGTGTGTTACTGCATTCGGAATGCACAATAATAATCTTGCATTTTCATCGACATGCACGAATTTTTAATTCCTTTGACCCATCTGAGATGTCACAAAAAACTCAGATGTCACAATAATGGAGGAACCACACTGAGCGGGCATGGTTAAACTATATGATCTCAGTATAGAATGCATTTGAAGAAGAAAAACTGCAGTCAAGCATGACTATAACGCAGAACACAGCAAGGTTAAGAAATAAGGAAATAAAGATACGATTAGATAAAACTAAGGGGGTTTCAATGCTGTATCTCATAGTCTCATACCCATATTAATATTGATGAAAATTTACTGAAAATATACTTACCATGTATAATTTGCTATTAAAACTACTATTTATTATGCGTAGTAGATTCATGTTCACCGAAGCTTCTGAAATTATTGGTTGACCATTCAGCAAAAAGATGACATCATTCTTCCTATAATAATATATTCAATTTCAATTAATTCAATTGTTCAATTTATATATTATCTGGAATAAAATTTAATAAATTTGGTACAATTATCAAAATCAGATGGAGCTGTTTTATATGTATCCGACCGACCCTAGCATAAAAATTACCAGACCTGCAACTCGGCTGCAAGCAAGGTCACACTGGATACCTAACCATGCACTAAAAACATGCACTAAAAACATGCACTAAAAAGTAAAAACCTGGGGCCGGTTGTTCAAAAGCTTGTACGTTAGCTTTACCCTGCATGTGTTAAACAAATCTTTACGTTAATATTTCTAATCGCTTTTTTACAAAGTTGAATATTTTTTTTCATAAATATTCTCTGGACCGATAGAAGTCATATTTTCAAAAGTTGTTCAGTGATTCAGAAGCACATAAACTAAAAGACTGGATTAAAATTTAACCCATGCATGCGAGGTTAGCGCTAACCTAGCTTTGAACATCTGGCCCCTGACGATGATTGCTGGCTAAAAAATAATGTTTATAAATAAATTTAGTCTTTATATTCCCATGTCTATCTTGGATCAGTATTTTGCTAAAACACATAGAGTAGTACCTCAAGCCAAAGCCATGAAAATATGTTCCAAAATCAACTCTATTAACTCTAATTCCTTTTCTTGTTTCCTCCCTGTTCTCATTTGCATCTTGCATCATTTGCCGTTCACCGCCAGAAAATTCTTCCATATTCAGTCTAACTTCAACAATTTTCTTGTCCAGTTCCATGCCCATCTTAGATACAAATTTGGCAGCTTGAGACTCAAAATCAAACAACTCTTCATTGCTGTCTGGTGTCCGATTTCTTGCAGCTTGAGACTCAAAATCAAAGAACTCTTCATTGCTGTCTGGTGTCCGATTTCTTGATTGAATGCCATTGCCATTATTGTTTCTTCTTTGCTGAAGTAGAAAATGAATGAAAACATTCTTTAGGGGCGAATCAGGACATTTTATAGTCACTATACTTCGTGTACAGACAAGATATTAAGTTCTCATGCATGAAACTGGCTATTTTTATTTTCCTGATTGCAAAGATCCTACCACCATAACATATTTATCATTAAACGTATGCACTCAGGGCCCACGTAGTTATGTCTATACGCAACGAATCTCAATGACAAAGAATCATTAAAATGACCATACTCAATGTGAAAATCATGCTGTTTTGTCTTGTTCTTTCTTTAGAGATAAGTCAATGTATTGATTATTATTTTAGTTTATATACTTTCCTTTAGATCTATTTTGCCAAATGCTAAAAATGTTTTTGACAACTTAAAAGTTGCTATGCATGGTATTATGGTATATGGTATACATTTTTATTGCGGCTAGAAGGACGCTCATGAAACGCATTCATGCAGTTATAAGGTACTTCATAAGAATTAAGATAGCTCTATCTATATATTAGTTATATACGGTTAACAAGCATTATAGGCAGTGAAATATTATTTATTAGTTATCTATAACATATTTAGTTATCTACTAAACAAAACACAAAATGCAAGTGAAATTTCAGGAAACATATATGTATGTATGTAGCTATGTATATATTTAAAGACACAGCATGCTGCATATACTTACTCTACACCAGCAACAACCCATTTCCACAAGTTAAAATCCGGCTCTCGTTAAAGTTTGCCTTGCCCTTCTCCTTTGAAATCCAAAGACTAATTAACTGAAAGTTGAAAAATCCGAACATTTATATAACAGCACAGGAACTTCCCGTTTTGAGTGGAAGTTTAATTATAGATGAAAGACAAAAACAAAATACCATGTGACATGCAGTGGTGTGAGAATAACGATAAAAGCATGCATTCTATGTTTGCATTGTGAGGGTTTCTACAGACCCACATAAGAGGATGCTTCCCAGGCTATGGTCCTTAATTAACCTTGTTTTTGCATGTTTATATTAATTTTGTATTTACCTCTTCCGTTCTTCGATATAATCATTTAACATTTTCAGTGGTGGTTCAAATTAGACTTGGTATTTCTAGGAAATTCTGCCCGATTCGCGATTCATGATTAATAAGACCCATGCATGATTACATAGAAATCTTTATTCACGCACCTGGGATATTATACTTGGGCAAGAAACGTTTGATATAAGGCAAAAGAGCCGAGATGTACGCTCATATAAAATGGGTGACTCGAAACTCATGTGGTGCATGGTGCATAAAATTTCATGGCTGACATCAAACCAGACTGTGTGACCGGATGTTGTACTGTATCATGTTGATCTGAAACACGTTGAAACACGCAATAATTTCATCAGTGTTGGTCCTTGCATGAACAGCTTGACGTCTAAAGTTCCGTCTGAACAAAACTTAGCATTATATTGTTCATAGTGGCAGCAATTTGTATTGTTTTAGCGAGCAAAGTTAATATTTTATGGACCACCTTGTTTAAATCTTGTCAGTATGTTTGAAGCAGTTGATATTACTTGGGGTTTTCCGTGGACTCGAGCTTCCTGTCGCGTTATTGAACTTTTTTTTCTTAGAATTGGAATCTTAAAATTGACGGAAGTCGGAAGTGCAACAAAAGAATTCTTTCTACTCTACACTACAGGGTGAATAAAAAACGCAACCACTAAGTATTCGTAAATACTGTGAATATTCGATCTTTTGTGATAGAATAGAAAGTAAATATCATGAATAAATATGGTATTAACTATAGGCTGATTAAGTAACCTGAGTTGAGGAAGATTTGCGAAGATCGAACGATTGGCCATGATATTTGGTCAAACATATCATCTCCTGAAAGCACGTAAACTGCATGAAAGAGGAAAAACCAAGAAATTGTAGTGATTATTGTCAGTCAGTGCATGGTTGTGAGTCAACTGGTTTGCAACTGCATGTCGCAAAATAATTTACTTGTTTCAAGATGGTCAAGTATCCATTTTTTTTGCGCTACTGGAGATAAAGTGAAAGTGACAGAGACAATTAAGTATATACTGTTCTCTACACTTCATGTTGTCTTGCTAATAAAATTTATCCTGATAATATCGCATTAGAGATTTATTTAGGAATGATAAAAAAGTTAATAATGATTAGTAACGCCATATAGGTGTATCGTAATTTGCATGCATGAGTCATGACTATATTTGTATGCAGTGCATGGTGTCAATATTAGGTGGATTGTGAGGTGCATTTTCACTAAACCATATAAATATATCCTTATGTTACTGCATGTACTCTGGTCATTCAATTACAACTAGCAGTAACCACAGGTTAGTGATGCGCGTTCGGCCGAATGTGTTGATTTCGGTTAACGATCATTAATTAACAAAAATGTTAACATTATAACGTCACAGGCTCACAGCGTATGTGATTCAAAAGGTTAC